ATTTTGTTTTGGCAGTGTGTGTGCGTGGGTGGGTGGGGGGTTCTTTATTAATGCACGTGTTATTCCATGTTTCTATTAGAACAGGCAGGTTGAAGAAATGCACTTTTTGTATTGGGAGTGGAAGGGAATGAGGTTCATGATGCTCTGTAGTTTGGGCTGGGGGGGATACACAGTCTCGACCTGCCCCCCAGAGAGGGTTCTATCTTCCACACAGGAGGTTTCCTGCTGTCAGTACGAGAGGCCTGCAGTGTGTGTGTGAGCAGTGCACTGTCTGGCCTTTTCCCCGGGGCCTGTCTGTTCAGCTCTGACCCAGTTGATTGCAACGCTGCGGGGAACGTTTGGTCTAATCTCCCTGTCACAGGGCGCGTGCCCTGCGCTGGCCCTTTAAGGGCCAAACCCCAGCCCTGAGGGAGGACTGCGAGCAAAGCCCCCGCGGAGGCAGATCTGGCTAATGGCCCCGCTGGGGGCTGGGTGAAGAGGGACCCCTGGAGGGCTGACGAGCGGTAGGGACCTGACTGCCTGGGAAGCAGGAGGCTTCCTGGAGGTAGAGCAGGGCTGGGGAAGGCAGGCAGGGCTGGGGAGACTCTGGCCAAGCAAGCGCCCAGGCTGCAGGGCCTGAAGCTACTGGGGCTGCAAGGGGCAGCCATGGTGGGCAGGGGCAGCAGGTCCACCCCCTTGGCCAGTGCTGAGTGGCCGTTACAGATGGCGGTTTGCCCCTGAGGCAGGGGCTAGATGGAGACTGGCCGTGGGTCACTGAGGCAAGGTGGGTCCAGGGGGACTGTGGGGAGAACAGGGCGCCCTGGGGAGGGGAGGACCCTGGAGGGCACGCAGGATAAACAGCCACCCCCAGAAGGGGGCTCAGACACTGGCGTGGGCGCTGCCAGGGGGCCGTGTCCTGAAGGGGGCGCTGTGGACAAAGAGACACGGGGGGAGACACCAGCTAGAGCAGGGTTCCCAGCCTGGGCTACGTGTACCCCCAGGGGTACGAGAGGCTCATCAAGAGGGTCTGGGGAATAGTTGGTAAATAACTAGATTCTCCTAACTGAAATATTCCAAAAGTAGTCGTGTGAGTGAAAACAGCTGTGGATTCCAGAGTCTGGAATTGATTTCCTTTCCTATTGACTGGGGGGTACGGGAAGGTTCACTAAAGCCAAGGGGGCACGGGGACCGATAAAGGTTGGGAACCCCTGAGCTAGAGGGCGGCGTCCAGCAAACCAAACCAGCCAATTCCCAGGATGGCCGGCTGAGGGCGCCATGGTGCTGAGCCAGCCCCATGATACACGTGGGAAGTGCTTTAAAGACTAACAAGATGGTTTAGTTTATTAGGTGATGAGCTTTCGTGGGCCAGACCCACTTCCTCAGATCAATTTGTGGAAGAAAATTGGCATGACCAATCACAATTTGATGTGAGGAAGTGGGTCTGGCCCACGAAAGCTCATCACCTAATAAACCATCTCGTTAGCACTTTTTGCCCCAAAGCAGCCCTGCCAGTGTAGATGCTTTTTTGCGCAAATACTTTTAATGGAAACACTTTTCCGTTACAAGTATTTGCGCAAAATGATGCCAGTGTAGACGCAGCCAAGGGGTCTTGTGCAAGAACATCTCCACCGGCCATGTGCTTTTGCGCAAGAGCATCCGTGCCAGTGTGGACGCTCTCTTGCGCAAGGAAGCTCCGATGGCCATTTTACCCACAGGGCTTTCTTGCGCAAGAAAACCCTGCCGCGCGTCCACACTGCCCCCTTACGCAAGAGGGCTTACACTTAGAAAAGAGCGTAGCTCTTGCACAAGAAGCCTTCCCTTACCACGCTGTACTATAAAACTTCTTGCGCAAGAGCGGGCTGGCAGTGTGGATGCTCTGCGGAAGAACGGCTGTTCTTGAGCAAGACCCCGCCAGTGGAGACATAGCCCTTGTGTGCTCCAGGTGCAGGGGGCTGGAGTACCCCCACAGGCTCCCTAATACTGGGAGGGGAGCCCTGAGCCTTGGGGGGCAGATCCAAGCAAGCTGGGGGCTGCATCCGGCTCCCGGGCCTGAGGTTCCGCACCCCGTGGCTAGGTAATCGGAAGAACGGCTGTTCTTGAGCAAGACCCCGCCAGTGGAGACATAGCCCTTGTGTGCTCCAGGTGCAGGGGGCTGGAGTACCCCCACAGGCTCCCTAATACTGGGAGGGGAGCCCTGAGCCTTGGGGGGCAGATCCAAGCAAGCTGGGGGCTGCATCCGGCTCCCGGGCCTGAGGTTCCGCACCCCGTGGCTAGGTAATACCTACTCCTGCCTTGAGTGCATGGGCCTGGCCTAGCTGTCACCTCAGGGTTCCTTCCAGTCCTACGAGTCTCTGATTTTAGGGGGCTCTGTCTTCACGACCTGCCAGCGAGCCGGCCCCCGTTCTCAGGCCTGACAAGTGGGCCCTGCCCTGGCCCAGGGTCTCACTCGGAGTGGTGCTCAGCTGCTCGGTCTGCGTCCCACGGGGTCGTGGTGGAGGAGGGGTGACTCCTGCTCTGGTTCCCTGCAGGGCAACACAGACTCTGGCCCGGGGCGCTCTCGCTCAGCCTGTGCCTGGGTTGCCCTTGGAGGGCTACTGGGGCTGTATCAGCGACTGGAACCTCCTGGGTTCCTGGGGAGAGCGACTGTGTGAGCCCCACTGAGAGAGGCTGGGGCTCCTCACGGGGGTCGTGGTGGAGGAGGGGTGACTCCTGCTCTGGTTCCCTGCAGGGCAACACAGACTCTGGCCCGGGGCGCTCTCGCTCAGCCTGTGCCTGGGTTGCCCTTGGAGGGCTACTGGGGCTGTATCAGCGACTGGAACCTCCTGGGTTCCTGGGGAGAGCGACTGTGTGAGCCCCACTGAGAGAGGCTGGGGCTCCTCACGGCGGCTCTTCCGCAGAGGGGTCCGGTCTGTGTCGGCAGCTGCTGCCCTCTACTAGCCGGTGGTTGAACTTCGCTTCATTTGTGTTCGCAGGTTCCCTGCTTTGCCTGGTGGCCTCCTGCCCCTTTCCACGGTGCAGTGAACACGGGACTCTGGGGTCCGACCGGGAGGGGGGGCTTGCACAGCATTTAACAGCACCCCACGTCTCCAGGGCTTGAGAGAGGTGGGGGGGCCTTGTGGGTAGGGGCAGTGGCGTGGCTGCCAGGCGCCTGGGTTCCACTCTTGGCACTGGCTGTGGGGAAATCGGCTTCGCTGCCCTGGGACTCAGTTTCCCCCCCACAAGCTGTGGCTGGGGGGGGGGTGGAGGGGGGC